AAAAAAAAAAATTAACCTTAGTAAAATCTCTTGTGTTTATCCAAAAAGAAAAATATAGGATTGCCTTTTCTTGTTTTCTGCTCACATGTAATTTAAATTTTAAAAGGCAACGCAAGGAGCCTAATGTTAAGGAATTTCAGAGATCATGCAAATTTGAAAATTGATAGTAATCTACTTTTTAAAAACAATATCAGATTCTGTGAATCTCTTTTTACGCGATAGTCCGGGTAGTTACTTCGACTGAAAAAGTTGCCGTATATTAAAACGAATGAGATGAGCAGTATCTAGAATTCAGTATTTAATTTAATTTGAAATAACTTAGTAGTATTTAAATTAATTAAGCCAAAGGAACCAAATTAATATGCATGGGATCAAATTTTGCTCCACGGGGCATGCAAATTCGATACGTGATTTTTGGTTTGGACTCTATACTTTTTTGGGGTTTTTTTTTCGGAAAATCTTATAAATATAACAACCAAAACAGTTTTAGGATACTATCGTTATGATCGCGTTAGTCTTTTGAGTTTTGAACCGATAGAGATTTTTTTTTTCCGCTTTAAAAAAAATATTTGTTTTCAACCTACAGATATATCTATTATAGTCCTAGTTATGCATTTATTTTTCAAAGCATTATCACCTTAATATTTCAATGAGACTCCATATATATATATATATATATATATAGGTATACATTCCATGAGCTAAGGCTTTTTAGGTTTTAATTCTTTTAGAGTATTTTTCTATTGGTGGTCGATAGGGTTTAACCAAAAGAACAGAGAATGGGGCTTCTAAAGCCTTCGACTATCATCCAGTTTCTCATTCTTTTTTCTCTCCTCCATATTCCAGCTCTTGCTGCAAAACAAGTATTGAATTCTTCTGTTTTTTTTTTGGTCACTAAAACTCCTGTATATATCATGGAGTTTATACACTTGTACTAACGTTGTTTTTTCTTGCTTATGATGCTAAAAGCCTTATATAGTGTACCTGGGCTCACATGCACATGGACCTAAGATCACAGAAGCTGATCTTGATCGTGTGGCTGATTCTCATTATGAACTACTTAGTTCCTTTCTTGGAAGGTATATCGCGCGATTTTGTTTTGTTTTGTTTTTTTTCTTATATTTTTACACGTTTTTGTTTTCCTTTTTGCTTATAATTTTCTCTTCTAATAACTGTAGTTTCTTGTGACGATGCAGCAAAGAGAAGGCTAAAGAGTCAATCTTTCTCTCGTATAAGAGAAATATCAATGGTTTTGCGGCCTTTCTTGAGGAGGAAGAGGCTGCCCAAATCGCTAGTAAGAGTTCAGATGTTAATTATTAATCACTCATTATAATGTGAAACTATAATCTTTCTTGGACATTTTAAAACCATAAATTATTTCTCACAATTTGGTATAAATTACATATTACATGTTAACTTGTTCCTATTCATTTTCTCCACATACCATTTTTTACCACGTCCTGTGAACTATTAAGCTATTATCTTTAACATATTTTATGTTATTAGAACGTTAATTTCTAGCAATTAATATTTCAGAGCACCCGGGAGTTGTATCGGTGTTCCTAAACCAAGGAAGGAAATTACACACCACGCATTCATGGAATTTCATGATGCTTGAAGATCAGAAGGGTTTCCCTATTCGTAATTCTATTTGGAGGAAGGCCAAGTTTGGAAAAGACACAATCATTGCTAATCTTGATACCGGTATATACATACGTTCTCTCTTTAATTTGACACTTCATTTGCTTTTCATAATTCGTGATTTTTTTTAATCAATGAACATTCTTCATATATGTTCGATTCAATATTTCATATTTGTTTATGTTTGAGATTACCAATTTGGCAATTCGGTTAAAAAAAAGTTGATAAATATTTATCTGAATATTTTAAATGAATCAAATATGTTCATTTCTTTGGTGCAATTCCCTTTGATAGATGGACTAGTAAACATTTTTTTTTTTTTTT